AGCGTGTGATTCACCAGCCGGGCCGCCGAGGTCAGGATGGGGGCCAGGCGAGGGGCCAGGGAGGCCAAGGGCGTCGTCAGCACCAGGAGGCCCGACCGGAATACGGCCATGCTGCCCAGGCCTGCGGACAGCCAGGGAGACGAGGCGTGGGTGACCGAGAGGTTATGTGGCTGAGGCTGAAAAGTGGGGCCTTGGACCCAAGGGAGGGGACCTGGCGCAGGGACGGGGTTCTGTGCTGATCCAGAGGAGACCGGGGGAAGGCGCGGGGCCTGGTACATGGCGCCTCGGGTCTATGTGCTAAGACGCTCTTTCCACATTTCTCAAACGCAGCGGTGAAGTCGCTGAACTGAATCGAAATCCTGGGCAGGGAAACTAGGCTGGACAAGAGCCCCTGAGTCATAGGTCTGGGGATCCAGAAATCCCGGGCCCTCCTGCCACGCTGTACCCGGGTCTTCAGAGACTCGAGGGAGGGGACTAGAGGAAAACGCTCAGGCTCGGGTCGGTCCCCTACTTACTGAGACCTCTGGGCTTAGGTTCCGCGAGCGCCGCCGCGGAGGCTCACCTGGATGCGACCCGGAAATACTGGTTCAGCAGCTCCGTGTCCGAGCTACGGAACGGCAGAAAGGCCAAAGTGTCTGCTCTGTTCGGGATCTCGCGAGACTTTGTATGGCGTTGGGAGAGCCCTGCCGAGGGGGCGGGGTCGGACTCGGGGGTTGGGTAGGCGGGTGGAGCGTTATTTCCAGATTCCGGCCGCAGGGGTCTGGACCGTGGAGGGCTAGGCGGTCCTGAAAGGGTTTTGTGTATGCTCTTCAGACATTAAGAGAAGAGAATGGCTTCGGCCAGGTTACCCAGGAGACAGCGGTAAAGGCAGAACTAACACCTGGCTTTCCTGTTAATAAATTACAGAGATGGGAGTCACAGGGTGGCACTGAAGTCAGGACTCAGAGTCCCCGCAGCCCTCCTGGCGCCCTCCCAGTCTGAGGATCCTCCTGTGGAAGGACCACTCTGTCGGGAGTCCCCATTTCACAGCTGGGGAAATTGAAGCCCTCTGTGTTCCAGGAACATTATAAGGAAGGTCTTGTGGCTCCGGAGCTCTCCACACCACCCAGAAACAGTTTGAGAGAGAGAGGAGGAGAGCTCTGCCTGGCAGCTCAGTAGGGTTGCCAGAGGATGGTCTCCAGACGGGAGAAAAGGGGAGGAGGGAGGGAGACCTAGTGGCAAGGGTTTACTGTGAAGCTAATGGGGCCCGAAAGGTTGGAACCGGTAGTCTGCACGGGGAGAGGAAGCTAGGATGCCATCAGGAGGTATTTCAGATAAAGTGTCCACAAAGATCTCAAAAGGGAGGGAAACCCAATTTCCAAGATTCCAGTAATGTGCTATCGTTTATTTTCCCAAACTAAACAATGCTTGTTTTCATAATTATGTGGGTTCATTTTGTATTTTTTTAAAGATTTTATTTATTTAGGGCTCCTGGGTGGCTCAGTTGTTAAGCGTATGCCTTCAGCTGGAGTCATGATCCCAGTGTCCTGGGATCCAGCACAGCATTGAGCTCCCTGCACAGCAAGAAGCCTGCTTTTCCCTCTCCCACTCTCCCTACTTGTATTCCCTCTCTTGCTGTCTCTCTGTCAAATAAGTGAATAAAATTCTTAAAAAAAAAAAAAGTAAAAATGATTTTTTTAAAAAAGATTTTATTTATTTATTTGAGAGAGGCAGACAGAGAGCCAGCACAAGCAAGGGGGAAGGGCAGAGGGAATGGGAGAAGCAAGGCCCCCACTGAGCAGGGAACCAGACATGGGGTTCTATCCCAGAACCCCAGGATCATGACTTGAGCTGAAGGCAGATGCTTAATTGACTGAGCCACCCAGACACCTTAAAAAGGTGTCCCAAGGGGTGCCTGGCTGGCTCAGTCCGTAGAGCATGCAACACTTGATCTCACGGTTGTAAGTTCAAGCCCCACATCAGGTATAGAGTACTTAAAAATAAAATCTTAATGTGTTGTGATGAGCACATAATGAATTGTTGAACACTACATCAAAAACTAATGATGAAAAAGAAACAAAAGTAAACAACTAACAACTAACAAACAACTTAGTATGTTGGCTAACTGAATATAATAAAAAAATAAAATCTTAAAAAGTAAATAAAATAAAGAGGTGTCCCAAAGGTGTATAAGCCTTTGGCCCCACAGAGCCTGGCTCTGCCCCTGGAGTCAAGGATTGGAAGAGTCACAAAGGCACTGAGCCCAGCCTTCTAGCAGGAGACACCTTAGATTGGATTTTTTCTTTTAGATTTTATTTATTTATTTGACAGAAAGCATAAGCAGGGGGAGCAGAAGGTAGAGGGAGAGGGAAAAGCAGGCTCCCCGAGAGCAGGGAGCCTAATGGGGGCTCGATCCCAGAATCCTGGGATCATGACTTGAATTGAAGGCAGACGCTTAACCCACTGAGCCACCCAGGCGCCCCCTTAGGTTGGATTTTTAAAAAGAGAACCCAGGGGCGCCTGGGTGGCTCAGTGGGTTAAAGCCCCTGCCTTCAGCTCAGGTCATGGTCTCGGGGTCCTGGGATCAAGCCCTGAGTTGGGCTCTCTGCTTGGCAGGGAGCCTGCTTCCCTTCCTCTCTCTCTGCCTGCCTCCCTGCCTACTTGTGATCTCTGTCAAATAAATAAATAAAATATTTTTTTAAGTTAAAAAAAATAAAAAGAGAACCCAAAATAAAGAATCAAACTGCCAAAAAAAAAAAAAAAAAAAAAGAATCAAACTGCAGACTCTCAGGGAGTACCTTGAAACATCGGAGCACACTCCCACGCAGAATCACTGCTGGAAGAGATCATCAAGAAAACATGGCTGCCAGTTGACTCTCAAGCTGGATGTAGGCAATTATAAATTCCTTGACCCCTCCTCTGTCAGAATATCCCCACAGCGGAAGCCTTGAGAGAGCAATGTTGTTGAGACCATCTGGACATTGCATGTGACTGAACCTATGGAAGGCTTCCATATAAGCTTTTAAGATTCCAGTGGACGAGTGCAGAGATCCGCTTGTCTTGCAGCTGCCCAGGACGAGTCTCCTATGTCAGTCCGCTTGCTTATTAAACCCACCACCTACCACTCTGGAATCGTCTGCTTCTTTCTTCCATCCTCTCTTGCCCTCTGTGTACAAGGACCAGTTTCAGGTTTCATCCAGGGAGCGGCCCAGAGTGTGAACCAAGAGTCATTTTTATTCAGTAAATATGAATTTAGTGTCTCCCATGTTCAGGGATGGTTCTAGGTACAAGGGATCAACCAGTGAGCAAAACAAAAGGGCTGCCCTAGAGCTTAGATTCCTGCGTGTTTTGGGATATGGTGGTGAAAGTTATAAATAAATGTGTAACAATAAAGTCAGCCAGTCAGTAAGTAAATCTAGTACCATCTAGTGATGGTAAGTGCTACGAAGGAAAATAAAACAAAGTAAGGGGACTACAGCGGAGGGAAGGGAATGCTATTTTAGATAAGGTTGTCCAGGGAAACAGCAAAGACCTAAAGGAAGAGAAGAATTAGGGAAAGTGAACCAGACAGAGAAACAGCCAGTTCAAAGGTTCTGGGGCAGAAAGCCAGCAGGGCTGAATCAGATGATGGGAAATGGTGAGAAGTAAGGTCAGGGGGCACCTGGGTGGCTCAGTGGGTTAAAGCCTCTGCCTTCGGCTCAGGTCATGATCTCAAGGTCCTGGGATCGAGCCCTGCATCGGGCTTTCTGCTCAGCAGGGAGCCTGCTTCCCCCCCTCTCTCTGCCTGCCTCTCTGCCTACTTGTGATCTCTGTCAAATAAATAAGTAAAATCTTTTAAAAAAAGAAAAAAAAAAAAAGAACAGCTTGGGGGACAGGAGCTGGGCTCTGAGAGCAGGTCCTATGTCCCAGAGATTCATGCCACATGGTCCTTTCCCCTTCTGTGGCCTTTCTGGATCCTGAAGGGACAGCGGAACCATCTGGGCCGGCGAGGCAGGGGGATAGGTAGGGATGAGCCGGCTGAGGTCCCCTGTCCCAGGAGCAGAAGCAGCCAGCAGCCCAACGGCCCAGCAAGACCACTACCTGGAAGTCGCAGCAGGCCAAGATGGGGTGACTCCTTCCGGCCCCCCTCAGGTTCCACACAAAACCCCAGCAGTTTCCTCTCTATTCCAGCTTTCCAAGTTCTCTGCAGCCAGGTCCCTGCCCTCTCCAAATGGTCATTTCCCTCCCCATCTCCTAGTCCCTTCCCTGGTCCCATCTTCTGGGCACCCCTGCCCTTCCTCTGCCTGCAGGAAGGATAGTCCATCAGGCACCAACCTGGCTGGAGCTTCAGCTGAACCTCCTGGTGAGTGGCAGCCTCTGGGCTGGTGGGCATCCGTCCAGCTGAGTTTTGTCAAGGGCCTGGGCAGGAGGAGGACGAATGGAGCTGTGTCCTTTTGACTCACTTAGCTTTGTTTCTTCTTTACATATCTAGCTTCCATATAGGAACACAATTACATAGTAACACCACTAGTAGTAGAAATAATATCAGGGCCTGCTATTAAGACCTCTGTCCCAGGGGCGTTCAGGTGGCTCAGTTGGCACCTGTGTTAGGCTGGGGTAGTGGAGCCCTGGGATCGAGCCCAGTGTTGGGCTCCCTGCTTGTGGGGTAGCCTGTTTCTCCCTCTCCCTCTGCTGCTCTCCCTGCTTGTGCGCACGCTCTCTCTCTCTCTCTGACAAATAAATAAAACCTTTAAAAAAAAAGATTTTATTTATTTAATACAGAGTGAGAGAGAGAGAGCACAAGCAGGGGGAGCAGCAGAGGGAGAAGCAGGCTCCCTGCTGGATGCAGGGCTTCGTCCCAGGACCTTGGGATCATGACCTGAGCCGAAGGCAGACTCTTGACTGAGACACTCAGGCGTTCCCAATAAATAAAATCTTAAAACAACATCAACAAATCTCCATCCCAACACTTTCAGACAGTACCTCAATTAATCCCCCATACACTCCATGACATAGGTCTTATACCCATTTTACAGGTAAGAGAACAGTCAGAGAAAGGTTAAGGCCCTTGCCTGATTTCCCATGACTGGGGGTGGGGGCAAGTCACAACCTGGCTCTCGCCCTTCCCCGGTCCACCTAACACCTGCTGCAGACACCCCGTGGGAATCCAGGGACCACTAGCCGCCCTGCCCTTCCGAGGGCTAGCCTCTTCCTCTTTCTGGGCCTCGGTTTCCGCACAGCTATAACCCGGGCTAACCACGATCTTTCCAGATCGCCCACCCGAGGCACGCGCCACTTGTCCCACCGGAGCAGTGCAGCCGGCAGCCTGGCGCCGTCCCGCAGAACCGCGCATCCCTGGGGCACAAAGGAGAGAGCGGCAGACAGCGGCGGACCAAGCCTTTATTGCGGGGCGGCGGCGGCGGGAGGAGCGCGGAGCTCGGGGCCGCCTGGGGCAGCGTCGGTCGGCTCCTCCGCGGGCTCGTCGGCGAACACCGCGCGGTGCATGGCGGCGACGTAGCTGCAGCCGCTGGGGTCGGCCAGACGCAGGTGCGCCAGGGGCAGGAAGCTCTCGGTGCTGAAGTAGCGCAGCGCGGGGCGCGGGGCGCGCAGCGCGGCGAGGAAGACCTGCGGCGGCGGGAGGAGGCGCGCTGGCGGGAGCTGCCCCCTCCCCCCCCCCCCCCACACACACCGCCGCCGCGCGCCGTCCCTGCTCCCGGGACAGCGCCCGACCCCTACCTCGGTCACCTCTTCCGGGTCCTGCGCCGCCTCGCGGAAGATCCGCTCCAGATGGCGCTGGTAGCGGGAGAAGAGGTGGCGGGTCTCGGCGTCCGCGCCGTCCAGCACCCCGCCCGCGACGCCCTCCAGCTTCTCCAGGAAGGCGGTGCGCACCGGGCCGCACTCGATGAGGCTCACGCTGCGGGCCCAAAGCGGCGAGTGGGAGGGGGGCGCAGCCAGAAGGCCGGACCCCAGCCCTGTCGCCGGGCAGGGCAGGACCGGCGAGATGTGGGTCTATGCCCGGGCGCCGGCTCCGCCGAGGTAACCAGAGCCTTTGAAAAGCGGCTTACAGCCCGAAAAGCACCCCTGCCTCCCCGCCTCCCACAGCCATTTAGGGGGTGTGAGGGAGATTTGCATTGGAATTCCAACCTGGCAAGCTCCCTTAGTGTGTGACCTTGAGCCAGTCACCTAACCTCTTCAGCTTCCCAGCTGGATGGCAGCAGAGGCGCGGTAAGGAATGGCAAGTGCCCTGGCACACGATAATTGTGACCCGAAGTGGGGAGGGGCCAGGGAAAACGCCTGAGAGAGGCTCCAACAGGACAGGGGGCTGGAGTTCCCAAAGTCAGGGGACAGGGGTCCCCGGGGCGGGGCGCTGACTCACTGGACCCCGAAGGGAGGCAGGAGAACCGCCAGACTCTCGCACAGACCTTCGATCGCGAACTTGCTGGCGCAGTAAACCGCGTTGAACGGCAGCCCTTCGAGGGGAGAAGAGGCTTCGGAGGCGCGTCTGGGAGGGTCGCCACCGGGAGCCCCAGGCAGCCGGAGGCACTGCTACCAGATCCCGCCCCTCCCGCTGGCCCCGCCCCATCCACGCACCCATCAAGCCGCCCATGCTCCCGGTCACCAGCACGCGTCCCGAGCGGCGGCGCTTCATGTCGGGCAGGAAGGCCTGCAGTGTCCGCACCGTCCCAGCCACGTTCACGTCCAGCACGGACCCCACTGCGCCGGCCGTATGCGCCTCCAGCGGCCCGAGCAGACCCCGCCCCGCATTACACACTGAGGAGAGAGAAGTCGGACCCTGCCTGCCTCTCTGTCCTCCGACCCAGCAGGTCCCTGGGCCTCAGGACATTTTGGTTTGGACACAGTGCCGGGGAGGCTTCTGCACGCGTGTTGCGGGGAGGCTCACCCAGCACGTCCACGCGGCCCTCGGTCACGCGTGCCCGGGCAGCGGCCACAGAATCCGCGTCCCTCACGTCCAGCTGCAACGTCTCCAGGGAGCCAGGAGGGCACCCTCGGGACCGGGCTGCCTCCCACAGCGGGTCCTGCGCCCTCAGGTCCCGCAGCGTGGCATACACTGGAGGTTCGGAAGAAGACGAGGATCTGAATTCCCTGCTTACCGCTACGTGGTCCCCTTGGACCCGGGGCTGCTCCTTTCTCTCCATCCCAGCCTCTCAACTACCTTTGAAGCTCCGGGAGGGGTCGGACGCCAAACGCAGGGCCAGGTGCAGGCCGATGCCGGAGGAACAGCCAGTGATGAGCACCACGGTGCGGTCCATGGGGAGACAGTGAGGAGAGGTCCGGGACTGCACCGCTCAAGACTCGGGTCTCTGAGCTCTTTAATCTAACCTGCTCCGCCCCGCCCCCGCCCTCGGGGTCCCCACCCCTTGTTGTGTCTCCAACCTAATCTCAAGGCTGAGCCCTCCTTCGGGTATGGGGCCTGCTCTCCTTGTCCTGCTCCCGGTCAAGGTGGAGATGACGCCCCTGCTGGGAATACCCGTTCTTGGGTGGCTGGTCAGAAGCAAGGCAAAGCTTTGCGACTAGGAGATGTGGGCACTGAGTGCCCTGGGCACATCTTCCCCTGGGTGTGCCTCTGTCCCATAGAGACAATTACGGGTTCCAAAGTTGGCTGCGGGGGGTGTGAAAGTAAACGTTTTGGGAGGGCATTCCCGGTTCCAAGGTCGGGTGTTAGTATCAGAAATGGGGAGGCTGAAGCAAGCGGGCAGGGAGAAAGAGCCTCACGCCAGTGTCCATCCTATAGCCCAAGTCCTCCCAGGCATCATGGTAGTGACATTCTGAGAAGCCCAGGGGACTCACCGGTTTATTAAGTTGTATTAAAAGAGTACTTTGATCCCAACTTTGGAGAGGAGGAGGAGGGCAGCTCACCACCCCCACCCCCAACTTCCCATTCCTGATCCTCTGGCAGGTCTTGAGTTCTTTTGCCGGGGCCTGGGGACCTGCTCGTCTAGCTCCAGGCCCTGGGAGCCTGCCCAGGCCTGGAATTCAGGAAAGACCACCACCCAAGGGTGGCTCATCTGTCACAAGTTCCCAGCCACCAACCGGGGGTAATATTTGAGGAAGAGCTTCTTGGCCAGGTCCACAGTGTCACCTTGGGGCTGGCTGGGATACCTCTGTGTGCTGAAGACAAAGGTCTGCTCCAGCTGGAAGGCTTTCTCTTCGAACTGGTGCTGCTGGAAGGGACGGCCTTGGACCAGGCTCTCAACCAGCATCTGCATGAAGAGCTCCCAGCGGGGGGGCGTAGTAGCCAGCCACCAGCCCCGCCAGCTGCTTGTTGGCGTAGTCTAGGATGTTGCCCTCGGGCCCCCAAAGGGTCAGCTGGTAGCGGCCGTCCTGCTCATAGAAACGGGCCTCGGTCTCGCTGACGGCGACCGCGCGGGCCTGCTCCAGCCACGTGCCCAGCAGGAAGCGGCTGTCACTAGCCAGCACTCCATCCAGGGCCGGCAGAAGCTCGTAGACCAGGATGCCGGCCGCCCTCATTAGGGGCACCAGCTCCTTGTTCAGGTAGGCAGTCTTTGCCTCCGTGTAGTACAGGCTGACCAGCTCCTGGACCGCCTGGCGAGTCACGTCCAGCAGGTCGTAGCGGAAGGTGGGGCTCTTGGCTAGGGTGGGTGCGGCTGTGAGCAGCAGCCGCCAGGCCTCGAACACGGCCGATCGGTTGTACCAGACGGTGGTGACCATCTGCAGGGACGGCCTCCTGACCAGGGGGCTGCGATTGTGCCCAGTGCAGGCCTCACCAGAACAGCTGTAAACACTCCCAAGAAGCAGTCTCCAGGCGACCTCTGTCTCCTTGCTGTCGACTCCATACCGACGTGCCGCAAAGCTGGTCACCCAGGCCTCCAAATCAGCCACTGGGTCCTTCCGCCAGCCCAGCTCTGCCATGAGGGCATAGACCACTTCGTTCTGGCCGATGCCCTCCGGGGCCATGCCCGTACCTACCATAGTGGAATTGGGGAAGAGGCGGGCCGCGGCAGGGCCCTGGTTCACGGCCTCCAGGGCCCCAAACAGACCGTGGTTACCCCCAAAGTTATGCAGCATGCACCAGATAAAGGGCTGGCCGTGGAAGGAGGCCGTGCGGAGGTACACGGGCTGGCTCTCGGCAAACAGGTCCAGAACCAAGAGGCGGCCACGGGGTACGGCCCCCAGCACGGCTCTCACCTGGGCGGGTCCCCAGAACTGGGGCTGGTGCTGGAAGAGCCAGCCTTGGAGCAGCCACACGGCGTCAGGGTCCACTGTGGTTGGGGCAGAGGCAGGGAGACAGAGAGAGGACTGATGAGAGGCAAGAGGGTAGGGGGCCGTTCACCTCGTACTACAGATGAAGAGACCGAGGTTCAGAGAAGTTAAATGACTCTATCACAGTTGGCAAGCTTTATGAAGCATCAAAATTACCAGAAGGGGGCGCCTGGGTGGCTCGGTGGGTTAAGCCTCTGCCTTCAGCTCAGGTCCTGATTTCAGGGTCCTGGGATGGAGCCCTCCATCAGCCCCACATCGCATCGGGCTCTCTGCTCAGCGGGGAGCCTGCTTCTCCCTCTCTCTCTGCCTGCCTCTCTGCCTACTTGTGATCTCTCTCTGTCAAATAAATAAATAAATAATCTTAAAAAAAAAAAATTACCCAGAAGGCTGGTTAAAACAGGTGCCTGGGCCCAAACCCGAGTCACTCCAATTCAGGAGAATGTGCAGACCCGACAGGCTCTGGGACGAGGCTGAGGCCATGGGGCCTGGATCACAGTGCTCTCAAGGCAGCCTGAGCCAATGGGCTCCCTTCCTGGCTGACACGGAGGCCTCCTCACCCAGCCACTGCTGACCTGACCCCTCTCTGCCCCACCCTGTAAGTGGCAGGACAGAGCACTGGGTTCCTGGAGGAGGGTTCCTGGAGGACCAGGAAGGGTACCCACCGGCTTTGAACACATCCCCTAACCTCTGGCCCACATTACCGACCTCAGCTCGGAGGCAGAGGCCAAATGAAATATTTGCAATAGCCAGCACTTAATGGCACTTTACTCTGGGCCAGGCATCATTCTGCTTACGAGGCAGCCCCATTTTACAGATGAAGCCACTGAGGCACTGGGTGGGAGATAACTTGTTGTAAGTCACACAGGCCAAGGTTCGAGCAGGCTGTCTGGCTCCAGAGCTCATCTCCCACCCACAGTATGGTTAACTGAGACAGTGTATGTGTACAAGTGCTTGGTAAACGGTCAAGTGCTGTCTTTTTTCCCACCCCACTGACTTCTGTCACACCCATGTCCCTGAAGGTTGGGGGTGGGGGGCTCGCCTTCCCGGCTCTCCCTGGCACCGAACCTGTGATCATGGCCTGGTAGACAGAGGCTGTGGCTGCGGCAAGGTAGGAGGGCTCCGAGGAGGGGGGCAGCATCTCGTTGAAAGTGTCGGCCCCATAAATGTGATCCGTGCCAAACTCCTTGGTCAGCTCCCGCAGGAAGAGGCTCCCAATGACAGGGAAGAGAGGGTCTTCTGGAGCCAAGAGGAAGGAGCAGGAATAGGAGCAGTTGAAGTGTCCCCAGCTGCCCAGCTGGGTGACGTTGATCTGAGGGAACACCCTGGTGGGAGAGGGAGCAGGGGGCAATCCAAACATTTACTGGAGGCTGATACACATTTCACCAGCTGCCTCCCTGGCTTATCTGCAGTTCCTGGAACACATCCCAGTCTCTCGTGCTCCCGTGCCTTTGCACAGACTGTGTCCCGTGGCTGGAATCCTTTCCTCCTCCCTCCCTGCTTATGTAGCTGGTTACTTCTCAACATCCTTTGAATTTCATCTCATCTGTAAAGCTTCTGTTCTCTCTCCCCCTCCCACCAGCTGAACAAGCAACACTCATTTTTCAATGCTTGGCCCAGTGCTGCCTCTGCTCTGAGGCCTGGCTGCCCCTCTTCCCCAGGCAGAAGGGGCCTAAACAGAGAAGTGGACCCATATATATTCCTGCCCCTATCACTATACTGCATGCCCCTGCCAACCTCTCCCACAGCAGGGGTGGAACTCACTGCACCTTCAGTGCTGCATCCCCATGACCCAGCACAGAGCCTCGTCTGACAAGCACTTGCTGAATGTAAGAATGAGGCTCTTGCTACCCAGCCGGGAGGTGAGGGGGTGGCCAGCCAGGCCAGCAGCAGTGCACTAAGCCCTGCGACAATGGTGGGAAGCGGGTGTTCATGGGCGCGGAGGAGGTGCTAACAAGGCTGGGGGCCCCAGCAAGGCTACCTGAAGGAGGGGGGTCTCAGCTGGGCCTCAGAGACTTTTCCCAGCCACAAGAGAGGAAGGCCAGAAATCAAGCCCAGGCCCACATCCAGAGCTTCAGTTTTTCTTCAAATCACGTTTTGCAGGAAAAAATAAATTCCCTCTCAAGCCAAGTCCGAGGGCGGGGTGGGGTGAGGGGGGGACGTTACCTGGTGAGAGCCTTGGGGACGTGACCTGCAAAGGCAGGTAACACCGGGATCATGCCAAAGGAGCGCATGCGGTCCAGGATCCGATGCTGGAGGGAACAGAGGGGGGAGGCGATGGGCATGGCCTTGAGGCGGAGGCCCTCACTCCCCCAGGGCGCACTGAGTCCCCAAGGCCTAGTTAAGAGCCCCAAGGCTGGCCAAATACCCACCCCCCTCGGCCCAGGACTACGTGGCACTGTCCAATGCTGCCTCCTTTCCTTCCCCGTCCTTTTACCTGCAGGTACAGCTGTTTGAGGTGCCAGGAGTGGGGCAGGGGGCCACCCCACGTGTGCAGGTTGCCCATGCGCTCCCAGGCCAGGAAGGCAGGGCCAGTGAAGTACTCATCAATCTCCGACTGGGTCAGGCCCAAGGCCAGGTACACCTGAGGAGGAGGGCAAGCCCCGCACATAAACACATGAGAATACATTAATCTCCGCTCAGTAATTCATGCACTCAACACTCACTCATCTCTTCTCTGGGCTGAGCCCTAGAGTTACTAAGACAAAACGTGACCCTTGCCAGGAGCCCACAGTCCAGGAGAAATAGACCTGTGAACAGGGGAGTTGACTTATCGGTCAGTTTTGCTGCAAGAGTGAGGTGAGGCACAAAGGGGCTCTCCCCAAAACGGGAAAGGGGTCTTAGAAGGCTTCACAGAGCGAGGCAGGCCAGAATGACGGGTGAGGCCAGCTCTGCAGGGAGACTAAAGAACCCACCAACCCTCCCCGCCCCCACCGCCAGCAGCCAGAGCCCTCAGGGCCCTGGCACGGAAGCCCCCAGGCCAGGGGGATGCCTGCAACGGAGGGGAGCGCCTACATGTGTTGACAGGAGCAGGTCTCTCCCAGATTTGCATCTCAGAAAGGACACTGGTGGAACTTAAGAGCCAGGAGTCCTGTTCAGAGGCTCTTGCAGGGTTGGGGGTGGGGGTCGTCCAGGGAGAGGGGGCAACAGCCTGCACTGGGGCCATGAATAAGGATAAAGATGATGAGGCAGATCAAGGCTGCCAATGAGACAGAACCCATGGAAGCAGCGGCCTCACCAGCTGTGGGGATGGGGAGAGAGGGAAGCCCGACTCCTTAGCGTTTCTAGTGGGGTGCTGGGGTCCAGCCCTGAGCAAGTGCTCCTCTGTGTTCAGCTCAGCAATGGAAGCCTGCTTCTGGACAGCTCGGGCCATCATGCACGTCATGAACACCTCTAAAGTCTTTATTCTGTGTCTCAGACCCTGAGCTG